TGTACTGCCTCTTGGCCGCTGTGATGGCTTTTCTCAGTCTGTACTTCGCAGCTTTGTACTCCGTCTCATCACCTGATCTGAATGCATGAGAGTGAGCACGCAGCATGTGGCGTACCTGACTGTTTATCCAGGGCTTCTGGTTGGGAAACCTCCTGACTTTGATACAGGTACTAATGTACCCGGTCACATACGCAGCATAGTCCTGTACGCTGAAAAGTCCTCCGAGGTGGCTGCAGCTTTAAATACATCCCAGTCTGTCTGGGCGAAACAGTCCTGCAGGGTGCCCTTAGTCTCTGGGATCTAGAGTTTAATTTGTTTGGTGACAGGGTTTGTTTGTTTCAGTCTTTGTCTGTAAGCTGGATACAGGAACAAAGAAATGTGGTCCGAGCGTCCGAAGACATGCGGCTTAGGTTGACCGGTGTCTCTAAATTGCCCGTAGGGGTGCATGTGAGTGTGTATGGTTGTTCATCTGTGTGTTGGACCTGTGATGGACTGGCGACCTGTCCAGGGTGTACCCCGCCTTTCGCTCGATTGTCAGCTGGTTTTGGCTCCAGCCCGTGACCCCGTTCGGGATTCAGCGGTATGGAAAATGAATGGATTTTTCTGCACTGAGCAGCCTACTCTAATCAAGCTGCAGAAGCATCATAATGTGTCATAACAAAGGGTCTGAATACTCGTGTAAATGGGATATTTCAGTCTTTTATTTTCAATAAATTAACAGAACCCTCCAAAAGCCTGTTTTCACTTTATCATTGTGGAGTACTGTGTGTCGATTGATAAGAAAGAAAATTAATCCATTTTAAGATGAGACTGAAACATAAAATGTGGAACGTTTTAAAGGGCCTGAAAACTTTTCATTCCCACTCTATATAGAAATTCTCAACTGCCTTTAGCCTACTTTATACAGTCAAAAACGTGTTTGGTTCCAAACTTAGCTTAAGCATTTCCACACTTTTTAGACAAAGTGGATGATCAACAGCAACATACTGCATACCCTCAGTTACCCTGGATAACATTACATTATCATCTAGACATCACATGACTAACAACAGTATCAACAATTATCCTACTTCAAGTCTGACTTTATATAATAGTTAACTTTTAAAGAGCCCATGGCTGCTCATTTTGCTCATTTTAAGCCATTTAATGTTTAATCTTGGGTACCTCTAGATTAGCCTTGCACCCCTCATAACTGCAAATAGTCTGTTATTATTTCAGAATGATATAAACAGAAAGCCTCTTCCTAAAAATGAGAGGACAGTTTGTGAACATACACAACTCCTGTTGCCGGTGTTGAGTTGAAATCTGTTTCGACACATTATAACATTGTAGATACATTGACATAGATTGTATGTCAGAAAACAAGGACAAGCATGCAGTGGGCTCTCTAAAGTCAGTTCTGGCTCTTCCACATGTATTAATATGATGAGCATTACAGTTTCCTCATCACTCCACTCACATCTAATGATTTCATCTATTCACTGAAAGTGATGAGTGATTTTAAGTCACATGCTTCATCCACACCAGCATTTATTTACTAGGTCTCTTTCACTCTGCTTTGTATCCACACACCACTTATTTTGTAATATTTCTACTTTTGTTTGTTTGTTTCCACTCAGGTTTTTCTTTATGCACAAACTGAAAATGCACATAACAAATGAATGGAAACACATGTACAGACTGATCTGTATTCCAGTGTTTGTGTGAACAAAGGCCATTCCACAGTCAATCACACAAATGTTTGTGTATTAGCATCAAAACCGTGACCAATCTGCTGACAAGAGGCTGAGGTGTTTCATTCTGCAATTTACCCACAACAAAGAATCTGAGTGAAGAAGTTTAAATACCCCAGTGGTAGACTGACATTCAAGCACTGAGACCAATGAAATCTTGGGAAAGGCAAGTGCAAACAGGTGGATGTGTTACATGATGCACAGCTTACTGTTGGAGCTCAGCGTTCCTGTTCAGCTCATCTGCTATCTTGATCAGCTGGTCCACCACTTCTTTGACTTGTGGATCCTGTAATTCATTGGGCCTTCCTCCAAGATCCTCGGAGGAGACATGTCGACCAGGGTCCTCTGTGTTTATACGATCAACCACATACCTGCAGAAAGAAAGCTGCTTGATCAATAAAATACTAGAGATTTTCTTTTTTATATCATGTCAGAAACTGGTAAGTTCTTCATCACAATATGTAACAGAACTTCTTTGTGTTCATCCCTTTATGAAGGTAATGTCATATTAGCATTTTAGGAAAAGCAATTAAAGATGAAATCAGAATGTGTGCTTCGCAGTTGTATGTGAATGGGACAGACGTGAGGATACAGCGACCTTGACCTTTGACTATCAAAATCTAACCATGCACTGCTCTTAGTTTTAATCTAACAACACTACAAACACTGCAAAAAAACACAATAAATAAGATGATACAACCTAAATTCTGAAAGAATATTTTCATTGCTTACATAATATTTAATGATACCAATCATATCATTTTAAAGAAGGAAAGAATGAGAGGTTTTTGTGCACTTTGTGAAACAAAACAAACAAACTGAAAGTACATCTCCCAGCCCTAGACCGGGTATGCACCAAGTTCTGATTCTCATGGTCTAGAGAAATCAACACTTCAAAATCTGATAAACTATTGGTTATTTTAGAGAACAAAACTGCAGTGTACACAATATGTCGTAAACCGATTTTAACAAGTTGTGGTGAGACTTACCCTCTGAGGATCACTGCTCCTTGCTCCAGGATGGGATCATCGATGACATCTAGAACAGTCAAGAGACTGATTAACACAGTCATGTCAGCCACTGACATTGTGCTGTTTGTTCACATTTCCAGGGCTGTGTACTGGAGAGATGTGTTATATGCACAATATTCTTCAAAGTGAGAGGTTAGGATCATGGGAAATGTATTATGTTGTGACATATGTTGATTTGAGTGATGGCAAGAAAACTTCACAATGTAACAAAGATAAAGTGATATGTTGTTATAACAAGAAATGTATCTAGTTAAAACTGTAATGATAACAAGACAAATATAACACAAAAATATACTGCTGTAATGTGAAAAGGATCTGAATATGTTATACTTGTTATAACAAGAAACTGAGCACACGTGCTGTCATGGTGTCAGAAACACTGAACACAGGACAGATCAATGTACCTACTGACATTCTGAAAAATCAAGAAAGGTTATACTGGAGAAGAGTGTACACTGACATGTTTCACTGTAAACTGTGTTCTTGGAATAACATAGAATTATGTTTAGCCTGTGGTTCATAGAGCCAAATGAGAAGGCATGGAAGACACATCTGGCATAACTCAATCTTCAAAATGGGCATCAATACAAGTGTACAATTCACAGGGGGGTAGGGTGAAAGCAGTCTGATAGTTTCACAGTCATTACTAGAAGAGGTCATTTGTTTTCATTTTGGCTGCAAGTGCCACCATCATCAACCCTGGGCTGCTAGGGCCAACAGCTACTGTATATAGGACTGAGAAAAGCAAGGCCTGGAGCATGACATTTATAATTCCTGGTTTGACAGTCGTGACATTATTATTGCAGGAATTTACAAACAAATAACTGTGCACTGGCTTAAATCATCAAATCAGTGCTCTGTGTATCCATTTGTGAGTGCTATGTTCCATCACTACATAAAGAAATGTCAGGAGATGTTAATAAACCCGACAGAATGTATGTCGCAAATTTTATGATTTTTCTAAGTTCCTGGGTGTCTAAGTGCTTGCCAGTACTTTACAACCTTACAGCCTCTATGAGACTTTATATCACATTTGGCAGTACAATATCACCACTGACCATTTCCCCCCCTTTCCATTACTTTCAGGGATTCATTCTAACAAGATAAGTACATCAAAATGATTGAAAAACAGATTGATGTATGTGAAATTTGCCCAGCAAATAGCATTAACAACCTATAAGTAAGTAGCAATGTCTTTGTTACTACTAGTGAAGCAAACAGAATATTTATATGGACAAAGAGAGATTTGAGCTGTTAAACTCTGTCTCACAACTGCAGAGTATACTCCCTACATTCAAATATTCAGTGAAAATCAGTTTGTGCCACTGCGTCTTTGTGTGACTTCACCTTTAATTATGATATCTGGGCAATTCTGTCAGTGTCATCTTGATTCTCAACCTTTAACCCCACTGTTAAGCTGTTATCGTTGCTTCATACTCACTTAGCTTGTCTAGGCTACTGATTTCATATTTTTTCATGTATTTAAACATATTTTGTCCCAGTTGTACATGAAATAAAATATGTATGAAACCCTGTCCAACTTAAACTTTCTTGACTCAGGCTGACAGTGTTTATCAGCTGCTGCAATTCACTTACCAAGGAGCGCACACACAAGGCCTTGACTGTTTTTTTATTATTCACATATTATAAAGGCATATATCAACTCAGGGAGTTTTAACATTTGTCCACCGACATCTTTATCGACAGTAGGTTAAAGGTTTGTGTTAAATCCCAATGCTCAGGAGTAGATTCGGTCTGAACCCAAACCAGTGGCGTCGTGCAGTTTAACATGGCCCCAACTTTACCCTGAACCATACCCCCGAGTCTTGGGATCTAACGTTAACCGTAGGTTAAACCAACAGCATTGAAACAGTTCTGATAATTGACTATTAGGCTATAATTAGTTAAGAACAGGACAAAAGAAATCCAAACCCCACCCGTATAAGCCGTAAGTAGGCCTGCTCCTTGGGGTAAACCGTGTTACGGTAGGCGTAGCAGCGAAACAGGCACGAGTTTGGGGCAAGGATTAGGTAAGCGGAAACCCATATTGACGGGGAAACAGGCGTAGCAACTGTTTGTGATCAGGTTTAGCCCAGATCATGTGTCGAAAATGGTCCACCGTCGAGATGTATTCCCCCAGTTAAAAACAACTTGGGGTTAATACTGAATTTAACCTGGGTTAAGGTGGAGAAACGTAAATGACACTTCGACACACCAGTTCATCCGTTTTTTAAAGAACAAAATATGACCTTAAGCTATAATGGCTCTAATATTTAGGTCTGTACACGGAATTCAATAAAGTTCGTCTGGTTAAGCGTTAGTTTATAAAGGCCGCTTGTCCTGAAGGTAAACTGGAGATGGCTTCACCTACCTTCCCCACCCACGGCACCCTGAGGCTCCTGCTCGCCTTCTTTCTTCTCGTCTTCTCGGCCGTCATCCATGGCTCTCAACTATGTCAGCTCGGAGCGATGAACGAGGAATTAGATTTGTGGCCCCACCATTGAAATTCGGCCCAATAGAGTCAGCAGTCCGGACGTATCCCTCCGGTGAAAACTTCTTGTTTTCCACAGACGAACACGGAAGTGACACGGAAGCACGCAACGGCACCGGCCAACCGGTGTGCCTCGCTCGTGCTCCAGTAGTTCGCGACTTATTACAGTATGACTTGACCGTAAAAGGAAATTGTACTTAAAGCCCCATTTCTCTAGCAATGAAAAATTCATTATGGATCTGCTTTCGACCAAATTCCTCATTCATAAAATGAAATTTCTGAAAAAGTCACCATGTTTTAAACAATCTGATCTGAGCAATTACTTCCAAAGTCACATCTGAAATATTCTAACAAAAACAAAAACAAACCAAAACCACCGACCTCTTCAATTTTTTAAAATTTTATTTCTCTATAATTTTACCTCTGGTGTTTTGTTTCACTTTGTCCTGTCTGTTTTTTCTGCTTTATGTTTAATTAAGCTTACTTTTATGTGTTATGCATATTTTAGTTTATTTGCTGCATCATGTTATGCAACTGATACAACTGTTTGTAGTGAACTGTATTTCTATTTTAAAAAACTGTTGACTGTAAATATAGTCAAGTCTGATTGATGTAGTTGTTCAAATGTGTCCATTTGGGCCCATATGGTAATAATGCGCTGTAATGAAACACGGATCTCTGTGCCTCCTAGACTAATTTAAGAGTCCTTCTGATATAATCAGAGGCCTATGTCCAAGAGCAAAGACCATTGATTGATTGATTTTATTCTTTCAAGCATTTAAAGACAGTTGATATGTCAACACACATAATTTTACACATATCCAACAAATGCTAATCCAATATGAATTTGCTTATACCTAGTACATGCTTGAACGGAGTAGGAAGAAGTTAGACTTATCCAGTCCTACCCCATGAATACAGCAGACAAGAAGGATCTAATGGTACTTACTGATCTCTGGTCAGGTTCAGGTGATGAGCCCTTCTCTGCAATTCTTCTCCTGTAAGACAGAGTCCAGAATTATTTCTGAAAAACAGTTGCTATTTTTAAAAACATATCATCATGTTTAATGTTAATATCATAAAGCACAGACCACACAATTCCTCCTGAACTCCACATTTTTAAAACCTAAATTCCTTAGATTTCTCTAGATCTTACAGTGATACTTCTCTGTCAGCAACAAAGTGCATTTAAATTACGATTTTACTACATATCATCTCATAATACTGGATTTAACTGACTTAAATTGTATCCCCCTTCCCTTTCATTAAATAGTTTTTGAATTCCACCAGGTAATAAATTGTTCCTGGCTTTATACATAAACACAGCAGTCTTGTGTCCCACTAAATCTAAAAATTTTAACAATTTAGACTGTATGAAAGCTACATTGGTGTGATCCCTATATGCCATCTTATGCACAATTCTTATCGCTCTTTTTTGTAATATATACAATGGTTGAAGTGAGCTTTTGTATGTGTTTCCGCAGTTTAACACCATACTCCAAGTATGGTAAAATCAGTGAAGAATACAAAATACGTAGTGCTTTCCTGTCCAAAATATATCTAACCCTCGCCAATATCAATATGTTTTTTGGTATTTTGTGCTGAATATATCTGATATGAGATTTCCAGGCGAATTTATCATCAACTATGGCACCTAAAAATTTAATTTCATATACTTGTTCTATATTCGCTCCCCCGATTTTCACTTGCAGCTCGTTATCTAGTCTACGATTCCCAAATACCATAAATTTAGTTTTATCCA